CATACGAAAGCTCGGCAAGGATTCGTGGGGGTTGTGGGGCGGCGCGCCAAGGACCTATTTGCACAAATCTACAGTCACAGCTCCAAGGCAATCTCCTAACAGATTCCGGTGAAACCAACTTACGAATCCCTTCCACTCAAATCTTCAAACAAAATGAAAGGTACTTCAGCATACATCTAGTAAGGGGGTCTTGGACACTCAATTTTTCTACATAAATAAGTTTACTTTATTTTTAGAAGTGAGTATTGTTTTCGTGACTGCCAGTAAATCAGTATTATGAAATGTATTCACCCAATTTCGTTTAAGGTGATGAAGGACTGGTAGAAGAAGAATTTTCTCACAATGATATGAGTTAAGCTGACGTTTCCATTGAATTTTACATACCCTTGCTTTCCCGAAAGTTGTTCTCATTCAGACTGGACTGCAGTTTCGACCTCGCATTGGTCTTATCAACACCCTCAGTGGGGGTCGAACTGCGACAGTAAAGGATAGGAGCTTGACACGCTAACCACTCGGCTACATTGCCACGAGCGCCTTTTGGGTCACAGGATGTGATGTGGGAAAATGTCTGGCCTTATTTGACATCTACATCTGCCCTGTAACCTAAGGTCATCTGTGACAATGTCGCATAGTGGTTAACGTGTCCAGATCATACGCTGCATCATTGTCGTTCGAGTCCCGCTAGGGTTGTTGATAAGACCAGGACGAGGAAGAAACTGCAGTCCACTTTGGATGAGAATACCTTCTGAAAAAGAAGGGCTATGCGAAATTCAATGGAAACGTCATATCTACTCATAGCAATGATGAAAACTTCGACTGCCAGTCCTTTATTGTCTTAAACGAAATAGGATGAATACATTAAAGTAAAGTGGATTGGTATGCATTCGTAATCAATAAGGTCATATGACCAGATGGGTGATTTTGTAGAACACCTTAACAAATCGGCCCCGTAGCTGGAATGTCACAGTGCATATGGCGTATTCAACTAAAAACATGCCGGAGAATGGCAAAACTCACTGATGATGCTGACTACGATGCCGGCGAAACATTTGAAATGTATCAAGTCCACTGTCTGATGCTGGGAATTATAACAACTACTATGGCAGACAACTTCGGACTAGGTGCGTTCTACTAATTCCCCCTGACAACAAGACTAAGTTTCGACAACGAGGTCAACCCATTTCTAAAAATATGCCTTTTTGCCTCATGTGAGCAATGAACACGAGCAGCTAATGGCAAAGTTCCATTTACTAATTAAATTATAGAATAATTCTTTAGAACCTTATACTATTTTTCAATGCTGGTAACCTAATGTTTATTTCGTGATGAGCAATCTGGTAAAATAGTTATAGGCCTTGAAAAGCTGTGATAAAAACATTTTTTTGGAAACTATAAGTGAAATTATAAGTCTTTGGAACACGGTGTAGTCTATATTATAGTTTCAGCTTTTTCCCATGATAGTATTGCTGCATTTGTTTAGGTAAATTTGGTGATTTATTGATCTCACTTTGTCTTCCACCGCTTACCTGGACCTGCCTCTCATCCTCCTTTGATTGCAGCTCCTCAAACATCGTTTTCCACTTGGCTGCTTCGGTCTGGCGTGCTTCCTCTACCGCCCGAGCTATCGATGAGTCGAGCTTGGCTGCTGATGCCTCTAGAGCAGCTGCATGCGCTTGATCACGCATGGCGAGGTTCTGGAGTATAAGGTGATAAAGATTAGGGAAGGGATAAATATATAAATAAGCAAATGCTTTTATAGACTAATGCACAATGCCGATTTCAAACAATGATTCAAATGCAGTAAATATTACTGATTAAGTAAGGCACTTTCTACATAGATGACGCTCATTATTTTTTTCATACTGACGGGCGAAACAGAGACAGTGACTGACGTATGGTATACTATAAAAAGCAATATATCCTATGCTCAACTAAAATTCTTATAGAACTTATATTTCACAGGACAACATTTCGTCTAAATCTTACTCAAGCAGTCTTAAGAAACTTTTAGAGACCAATTGATACGACTCAGCCTATAGGTTACCGATTGTATTCGTTGGGGGATTTCTTCCTCTTGAAGGAAAGCTTGATAAAAAAATACATTTGTGAAAATTTCGTAATTTGGCACATTTAGTCTGTCAATAAAATGGCAGAAAGGAAGCATATTCTCCTTTTATTTCCCTATAAGGTTTAGATAGTGCTGATAAAAGCAATCGGTAAAATAAAAGCGCTGTTCTCCTTTAGCTAGACCATTTAGGATTCGTATTACTATAAAGAGTAAGGCAGAGATTTAAAATGTACGAAAAATAGATTAGGGTCAATAGTTTCTTTCTGTATTAAGTATAAAGTGTAAATTAGACTATAAGTAACACAAAAATTTTCTATACAATCTTATCACTATAGATATTTAATCTACATTAAACACATATTTGTAGAGAGACAATTCATAAGCTTAATTTATCTCTGGCCTGTCTATGAGAGAAAAGATCCGTAGACATACTAATTTAAGTGGATTACTATTTTCTCATACGATCCATTTCTTTACTAGTATTTCGAGCTCCCTCCCTCCCTCCATAATGACTTCACGTCTACAAATAATTTTTTGTTGTCAATAAAACCAAGATCTAGAAAAAGTTGTCGAATCACCACAAAATGCATCGTTAAATCCAAATTTATGGGAAGAAATATATTTCGTATTCACAAAAGATTAATCATGAAGAGATTTTATTTTAGGACAAGATATATTTTTGTTTATAGTCATACATTGAAATAAATTTTAAACGAAAATTTTGCGAAGGTGACCAGTTGACCCCATGAATTGTTGGGATTTTATAGCGACTGGGAGTGATAGAATAATATAGAGAATAGTTAAATGGTTATCAATCCAAAATAAAAACTAGTTAAAGGCTCCTTGTGGAACCATTCTAGGACATTTATGTTCGTTAATTGCACATAAAAATTGCTTAATTATGGCTGGTATATTAAACAGGCCTTCCAACCTTTATCTTATATGATGCATTAACGAGCTTTTTCGCAAACTACCTAGAATTGGTCACCTTGCTTTCACACATATCTCGAGAATAATTAAAGCTTCTGGTAACAACTCACAACAGAGCACATCTCCAATCTAAATATATATAAAATGATATATATCATCCATCATTTGCCAGCAAAATGTTTTCATATTCCTATTATCTCACCATTCGTCAGCTCAGTCTAAGATCTTCTAAAAGTCGCTCCTTCTATTCTATATGCTCTTACATTTTTCGGAAAACTATGTATCAAGCCATAGAGACAAGGAAGCATACTTTAGCAAGAATGAAATTCACAGGCAAAGTACGTTTTTTTCATTCCTCTGCTCATAGTCCAGTGACAGAACAGGTTTAGAGGCAAAGACTTTTTACTATGATATTCATTGAATATCTAGACTTCAATCCATTTTTACAACAAGTGACATATTATCGCAAACTGGTCAACCTTGGTTACGTTTTGATGCCTTTTTGC